TTTTTTTAGTATAATATAGAAGAGAATTATTTATGTAGAGATACTGCTTGCAAACCAATGATGGTAAGATGATGTCATGGGGTAGGACTAGATAAGTCTGACTTCTTCCTACTCCATTCAAGCATGTACTAGGTATAAGCAAATTGATATTGGATTAGCATTTGATGGATATGTGTAAAATTATGTGTGTTGACATAACTGTCTTTACATGCTTGAAAGAATAAATCAAATCAAATCAAATTAAAATCACCTCATGTGAAGGAATCTAGTGTTTTTACTGTATATGGCAGGACGTACAGACATCCACATACATACAACAAAATCATACAGTCGCAAGAAAAAGTCATGGCACGGTTTGCAATTTCCTGGTTTTCTTCATAAATTGGTCATGAAATATGATCTGATCTTCACCAAAGTCACAGGTGTTAGTAAGCCCGGAGTCCAGTCGATCAAAAGAGAATGGAGATGTGGTTTATCTTGACTTAAAAAAAAAAAAAAAACACTCAATGTCGTGTGCTATTCACAAGCAGCATCAGCTGATGTCAGCCATGCCTTGCAAAAAACGATCAAGAGTTGTTGATTTGCATGTAGCTGGTAAGGGTTACAGATTCATCTCAAAGACTTCAGATAGTGATCAGTCCACAGTTAGACATGCTGTCTACAAATGGAGATGATTTGGTTCTGTGGTTACTCTCCATAGAAGCGGGCGCCCAGCCAAGATCACTCCAAAGGCACAACACAGGTCACTAGAGTAACAGCTAAAGACCAGAAGGAGCCATTGGAGTTGGTTAACTTCTGAGTTCATGAGTCAGCCATTTGCAAAACATTGAACAGGCATGGTATCCATGGCAAAACACCCCAGAGGAAGCCACTGCTCTCCAAAAACACTGTAGCATCCCTGAGGTTTACCAAAGACCACCTTGACACTCCACAACACTTACTGTTAAAATGTACTGTGGACAGATGAAACAAAACCTGGGAAGAACATACAGCGCTACGTATGATGTAAAAAGAGAACTGCGTACCAACATGAAAACATCATCCCAACAGTGAAGTACAGTGGAGGGAGCATCATGATGTGGGGCTGATTTGCTGCCTCTGGACCTGGACCACTACCCATTGTGAAGGGAAAATGAATTTCCAAGTTTATCCAGCTATCCTACTAGATAATGTCAGGGTGGCTGCCTGCAAGATGAAGCTCAGAACAAGTTGGGTGATGCAGCAGCACAATGACCCTAAAAAATGAAGTAAATCTACTACAGAACTGCTTCGGAGACACAAAATCTCTCTTTTGGAGCGGCCCAGTCAGAGCCCAGAATGGTCCAAAATTCCTCCTGAACATTGTGCAGGTCTAATCCACAGCTACAGGAAGTGCTGGCTTGAGGTTGTTGCTGCCAAAGGTGGCTCAACCACTTATTAAAGCACTGTTGCCATTACTTTTTCCACCATTACTTTGTATGTTTAATGGGTGTGTTCAATAAAGACATTAAAGATCATGACTGTTTCTGTGTTATCAGCAGAAATATTGTTTGTTGTTATTTGTGACTTTGGTGAAGATCAGATCACATTTCCTGACCAAGTAGTGCAGAAAACCAGGAAATTGCAAACAGCTCCATTTTCTTGCAAATGTAACCCACTCGTGATTTGATCCTTGTGGTTTGTTCACCTCTTGCCCACGGGCAGAGGAGCCCAGGCAGACTGGAGGGTAGAACTATTGAGTCAGAGAGAGGTCGAGACAGACTTACAGTTAAATGAGGGAGACACTTTGGCCTTTATGTGTATATAAGCAGCTGACTGAATGGATGTCTGCATTCTTTGCCTCTCCAAGGTTTATTCACATTTATTCCCTCAGCACAACATTGTTCTTCACCTGACTGTGTGTGATCCAGCTGCATGAGGCACATGTTAGAGGGAAGCTTTTGATTGATATGGTGGGGAGACCAGATGGAGATATACAGGTAGTATGTTGACGTGATCAACTGGGCTTTATGTTTCTACCTGTCCAGATTCCTGTCCATGTCTCTGACTGCAGCTGACGAATCTGAGTCAAGTTATCTGTACCACACTGACGTTGTCCTTGACAGCTAATGAAACAACCATAGTGTCCACTGCTCTACCTGCCCCTGACCTTCATGTTCAACTAATCTCGAGTGACCACCGCTCAGGCTCAACACTCAAAATGCTGAGCAGCAGGAAAAAAAAACATCTTCCGTGTGACACACCTAAGCTTTTCTAAAGACAGCTCTTACAGTGAAATAGTCACCAAACTGGGAATCATGAACATACAACAGCAGCTATAAAAGGACTGGAATTTAAGAACACAAATACAAAAAAGGTGAGTGACCATGGTTCCCAAGATGAGTCACCCCCCCCCTCAGGCCAGCGATTAGAACAGAGAGAGACGAGACATTATCTCTACAGCAGAGGTCCCCTCTCATTCACATCCAGCCCACTAGCACCTGTCAACGAGCATCACATCCCACGAGCCCTCTCCCTATCAGCTGAAGGGGAAACAGCAGAGGAAAAACCTGAAACCTCCCCAAGTCCCCAACCTCAACATTTTGTTGAATTACATCAACGTGACCACATCCTCCACATGTTTGATGCTTTGATGCTGGTTATGAAGGCAGACAGTACAAGACCATGTAGCATGTTTCACTTTGAACCTGAAGACATGATGCATATATTCCTCAATAAATAATCCATCAGCAGCACAAAGAGGGAAAACTCACCTTTTGTAGGCTGGTTGGGTTCAACTGAGTTTTGTCAATTATTTTTATTGCAACCTGTAATAGACAACAAGAAACTGATGAGGAAAAGTAAAGGTATCAGCATTTTTATTTGCGTATAATCATGCTGATAAACAAATATAATTCCCAGAAGAGTATCAGATTGTTAACTAAAGCAGGTAAATGTGGACTGAGGCTACAGTAAAGTCAGTCTGAGCAGTCTAATCCCTGCTGACTTGTTCTGGCATATCTAACCCAGGCTATAAGAATGGTTTACTGCCAATTTTGGAAAAAACTAAAGCATTGGTTTTCAAAGTGTGTTAGGCATCATAAGGATGTGGCTGCAAATCATTAAAGTAATTAAGACTACTATCGACTGCATTAGAGTGTATACCAGTCCCAGCTCGCGCCAATACAAATGATACCTGCTTCAAGTCACTGTTCATGAAGGGCTTCTAAGTTGAAACAAATCACTTTTTAACTAATAAATAATTTATGACTGCTTTATAGATCAGATATAAGGAATTTACAATAACATACAGACAAATAAAAAAAATTACAGGAAGAACCAACATAAGGTGTTGGACCACCATGTGATGTCAGCTTCTCCAAGTCTCTGAACTCTACTGGAGGATGAACACCATCCTTCCAAAAGACATTCCTTCATGTGTTGTTTTGATGGTGGAGGTGGAGACCCTGTCTAACACGTCACTCCTACATCTCCCATAGTTGTTCAACTGGGCTGGGATCTGGTGACTGTGAAGGCCACAGTATATGAATCACATCATTTTCATACTCATCACATTCAGTGGCCCCTCGTGCCCTGTGGGTGGGGCCACTGTCACCATCACAGAGACCACTTGTTTAATCAGGTTCTTCTTTGAGTTGTCACCGGTCTGTATTTATGGTTGCCGGGTTAGGTTTGTCTTTCTGCTAAAGGTTTATCCTTTCTATCAGGCGATAATGCAGTTATGGTTTGGTAATCTTTTAAGAAGGTAAGTGGCCATACAGTCCAGTCAGTCAGAGGCAGTTTTTTTACAGCTTTATAAAAGTTGTTCTTAATGGCTTAGAACTGATCTATAAAGCTTTATTAAATGACTTATTAAACATTAATAAAGCAATTTGTTACAAAGGGTTATTTATTAAAAGGCGGTACCAATTTATGCAATCATTTAGTATTCACTGTTTAAATCCTGTCACTCTTAAAGTAACTGAACAATGGGTTGAAATTATTTCTCTTGTCCCTTAGATGTCTTAACAGAAAATAAGTCAGTCCACAACAATAATGTTATTTGACTCAGAAAACTGTTGAACAGAGAATCTGTATCAGAAGGAACTCAAATTATAAGGTAACATCAAAAGATGTTTCTTTAAAAATCCTCACCTTACAAACAGCAGTTTCTGTCATTCATCCATCATCCACCCATCTATGTCTGCATTCCCTCCTTCCACCCTAATCGCCCCTTGTCTTACCTCCCTGCCCGTCAGGATGTGGCGGGCCAGCTTGACCTTGGCAAAGTTTCCCTTGCCAATGGTCTTGAGCAGACGGTAGTTGCCGATGTGTGGCTGCTCATCAGGGAGTCCCTGCCCCGGGCGCCCGGCGAGCGGCTGGACTGGCTGGTGGCCTTGTCTGAGCGGCTAGCCCCCAGTGACACATGCTGGAAGAAGATGAGGGGAAGGGGGTTAAAGAGAGCAGACTGTTGAAAAGCACAGATCCAGGGAACTCCCTGTCACACCATGTCATCACTCACACTTCAGTCAGAGTCTGCTATGTCTGTGGAAGTCACTGAGCAGCCATTGCCTTCACAGAGGAGTTTATATCTCTGACATAAACTACACAGGTAAATAAGGTTACAATAAGCAGCCCAGCTTAATATATAGTTTATGTGTAGACTGAGAAAATGACATGTCTGTGCCACATCACCAAACTCATCCCAGCAGATGTTTGTTTCAGACATACTAAAAGGAGTGAATACTTGCCCCTAAGTTCTGGGTTAACAGCTGTTGTCCAGCACATTAATGCCGGAACACAGTGTTTTCATTTTGGGTACAGCATTGTCTTCTTTAGAGGTCTACTGTTTGAAAGCTGGAAGATGCCTTGCTGTAGTATATAGGTAATATTTTCAATGTCAGGCAGTCCTGAAGGTTTCACAGCCCTGTAAACAGTTGGCAGTACTGCTGCTGTTCCATGTTACCGCCTGATGCTGCTTGATTCTGAAGCCCAGTGCTTCAGAGCATTGCTGTACAGTCCAAAGCTTGAGTCACAGATAATTTCAGCCAGGAAGCAGAGCAGAAGAGAAAGGGAGGACAACAGTGTGCATTTACACAAACAAAGCTTGATGTATTACAGTCTGGAGTGGCTTCTTGTCAGAAGGAAAGACACAGAGCAGCAAAGAGAATAGAGGGAGGACAAGAAAAGACAATACTAGGACAGAGAAAGGAAGCACTCAGGGAAAGGGTAAGTAGAAGAGAAAGGATAAGGATAAACACTTTATTGGCCAACTATGTTACACACAAGGAATTTGTTTCCGGTACAGAACCGAGGCAGCCATCTGTGGCGCCAACTCAACCGATGGCTCTGACCATCGGGGGCAACTTGAGGGTTCAGTGTCTTGCCCAAAGACACTTTGACATGTGGACTGCAGGCACCGTGATTCAAACCGCCAGCCCTCCGATTGGGAGACGACTGCTTTACCCACTGAACCACAGGGACATAGGAAGAGAGTAAAAAGGGAGCAGATGATGGCACAGTGGTCCCTGGCCAGTCCCAGACCATGGGACTGGCTCTTCCATCCCCGCAGCATGTCATCTTGCTCTCAGCTTCACATACACATACAAACACATCCAACCCAGCCTTAAGTCCCACCTTCAGACACTCCCTCCTTTCCATGCTTCTTTCCTGTTCTCCTGCCCCACCTAGAGCCAGTTTGAATCCTCTTTCTATGGTCTATGCTACACACAGAACCCTAGCCAACAGTACTGAAGGCTTTCGCAGCGTGCAGCAGAGTACATTAATCCACCGACTGTTGGGCACACATCAAGCCAAGCCTCACCTGTGCCAATATGGCAACCCAACATTTCACCCTGTCAATTCACTCTTTGTTCATCATTGCTTAATTGTAGACTGATGACAGCGGATCGAGATCCACTGTCATGGAACAAACGGATCTGCATTCACAATCAATTACGCTCCTCAGAAACTCACACACTTATGTACATCCAGTTACACACGCACACACATCTATGAGCTTAACCATCCCTCTGTGCTGAATGCTCTGCTAACAAACAGATGGTGGGGAATCTTTCAAGAAGTGTTTAAGGCGGACAAATGACAATGCCAATTAGCCATTTTGATATAGGCCTACTTTAATAAGCAGTATAGATAGATAGATAGATAGATAGATAGATAGATAGATAGATAGATAGATAGAGCCTGCTGTTCTGTCTGTCTCATGTGAATAAATTCCCTTAGGTTCTTTCTTTTCTGCAGGAGGCTACTGTTTTCCACTGTACTGAATGTGTGTGTCTGACACACAGTGGCTCCGGGGTTGGGCGCTTAGGTTCCGCAGCAATTGACTGCAAATCATTTTACCCACTAATCCCCTTGCTTCAGATGACCAACCCAGATATTTTCTGTACATTTATTTTGGCCTTCTGTGCTCCCGTCCCAATCACCTATCTGATTTCTAGAGAGACACACGTACGCACAGAGAGAGAGAGAGAGAGAGAGAGAGAGAGAGAGCAGCAGCAAAAGCAGCAAGGTGTATAATGTGACATCACTACCTCACAGCCTTATAATAAGAGGTGACGGCTGGTTTTCAGGCTTTCTGCGCATATCTGTTGAGTGTTATCGTATGCAGATGGACTCATTCCGG